TCTTGCATAAGCATCTGGTCTGAGGCATGCACGTCACAAAGGCTATGGACAGTTTGCAAGCTGCTGTCCGTGTGCCTGGGATTCGTCTCTTAACGAATTTCGCAGAACGAATTCTCTGTGGACGAAGGTGCTATCTTCCTGAAACTCGATTTCTTACTACATCGGCTTTTGCCACCTGCCTGAAAGGAATTAGCTCCCAATGCATCGCGTCACAGGAAATTTGCAGCCAGCTGGAGCACTGGCACAACAGACTCAGGAATTGCAACATCAATTTTGCTGAATCTATGAAACACATCATGAAATTGGCACCTGCAACATGCAGTGTGCGAAAAGCCTAGCACATCATCACTTGGAACCTTGCCCACATTAGACATGCCCTGTGTTTAGAAGTGTCAGGTTACAGACACACACACACACATGCAGGGTAAATGATATAGAGGATGTCTTCGGTGTTGCTTTAGCTAATGACTGCCCCCTCAATACGTAGGAGGACAGCGTTTTCCCCAAATGAATCTGTCGCAGCCCCCCTTACTGCTAAATGCCAAAAAATTACAAATTACAAGACATCGGCGCCAGCAGGTGCCAATTTAGAAGCCCAGGCTGCCTAAGAAGTAGCAGAAGCAGGAAGTGTCTTTTGCCAATGTGAAAGCATCCTCGTGACTGCAAGGATTCAGAGTCTAGGCCAGAACTGTGGCTATTGTTTTGGGTGGCCATCCCGAGCAAACTAGTATGACGGCAGAATTTCATTGCGCATGACTGCTTACGGATGATGTTTCCGGTGCATGTCATGTCCGAGTTTCAGGCGGAAGTGTGCCACATTCAGCTGATCTGCTCCAGCTGCTGTCTATCGCCTTTGGAGGTTCAATGTTGACAGCTTTGGTAGATTACAGAATATTGCAGAAGATCGGGACCAAGCACTATACTGCACCCTGGACGGATAACAAATCCCCCCAAAGAAGTATATAGTGAGGCAGCGCTATGGAGAGCGCGCAGCTTGAATAATTGCAGTTTTCCGAATGAATTCAGGATAATGCCAAGCTACACTCGTCCATTGCAATTTTCTCTCGCCCTATCCGAAAAACGCATGGCATGCAGCAGATCGACCCTCTGCTCCACCTAAGGTATCTGCTAAAGATGTGCTTATGGATCTTATGTATGGTTTGTTTGGCAGCCACAACCATTTCCTGGGCATTGTTCGGATTTTGCCAACTGTACCGTGTGATACGATGTAGTCTTGTAATTATGCATCATGTTGTAAACCCCCCAATAGATTCAATAGATGTACTGCAAAGCTGAGAGGATATACTTGTTGCGAATCCAAATGTGAAGCACTTAGCCCCAACCCTAAAACAACGCGTGAGTTCATGCATTCATGCCCGGACATTGGCTCCCCTGAGGACATAGTGCTTGTGGAAGCACCTATCCGGAATAATGAGAAGCCGAAGGGATTTGAAATTGTGGACCTTGAAGTTCTGGCCCCGCACCTTGTGAAAGCCTACCTCTGCGATGAAGTAGGTGTCCATGTGGAGGCTGACAAGGTCAAGCAATTCTGGAGATGGTTTCGTCAGGTAACCCAGCAGCCCTTGGCTATAGCTTTGGAAGCTACTGATGCTCATATCCCTATCGGACTTTATGGTGCAGCAGCCAAAATCACCACTGAGTTCGATGTTCTGGGAGTGTTCACTGTGGCGACCCCGAACAACAAGGTACAAGCGCTGGCTTCTCTTCTCGCTAAAAGAAGAGATGCTCTACAAGCACTTCGCATGAATGCAATCTATGCCTACTTGGTATGGTCTGAGAACTTGCTTTTTTAAGGACTGCACCCTTCGGCTTCTTTTGAAGTCACACACACGAGACAAAGTCAAAGAAAAGAAAACTTGTAGGCACACCGACAAGGTTTTCAACTGAAAGCCTCATGGCAGAGCAACGAGACAAGCCTCAAGTGCCCTGCCCTCACAGGAGGAGGTAGAAGAGATGATCTTTACGCTCATGTGAATGCTTCAGCAGACTGCAACCGGAGGAGGATCTGAATGCTTTCCTGTCCCACCGGATCCGCAAGATGACCCATGATTCTTGGCGTAGGACTACTTTCGAGTTTCCGGCCTCATGCGTCGAAGAACAACATCGCGCCCCTGGAAGCCTTCACCTGCTCATCGTAGGCCAAGTCATCCCAAGACACGGGCGTGAGCAGGCTGCAGATGTCTGCGAACTGACACACCATTGGTGAGAACAACAGACTCCGCTGCCGGGCCTTACATACAACGAAGAGAAGCGTGTTTGTGTCCTAGCATACGTCACAGCTACACGCACACAGAGGGCGGAAGCCATGCATACCAGCCAAGGCGCTGAAAAGGCCTTTCGAGCAGCATCACACTGAGACGTGAGCGCAAAGTGTATGCCAGTATCCCAGTGGAATTCTGCGCCATCAAGGCAGCCTGCTCACCGCCTCCCATCCCAAGGAACTGGGTTGACAATGTCATTTGGGGCCGGTACAGCAGGAGAGGGCTTCCATCAACCTGTGGCGGAATTTAATAGGTGGTAGCTGTCAACAAGCAAATTTCCCCCCTCACCTTAGCCGCCGCAGCTGCTGCTCCCTCAGCAACAGCCTTGTCGAATGTTGAGGTCAAGCCGTGAGCCTCTAGGATTGCAACTGTATACAAACGCTGCGCTACAGCAAGCTAACGTCCAGCCGCACCTGGGAACTGCGACTACGCTAGGAACTATCCTGCGTCTCCTTTCCTTGGAACTGCACACTACTCACAGTGCGTTCAAGGCGAACGAAGGGAGAAAGGCAGGCTGCTCATGGCTGGGGGCAGCAGAGTGAGCGGAGTAGGGGCTCACGCGGACGCGAGGCAAGGCAAGCGGAGCGCGTACGGGGGGGGCATCCCCCGAGCTAGAAGGCAGCCTGCGGAGGACTGCCCTGGCATTTTCCCGTTGCAGGGTGATTGCAAGGATCTGCAAAAGACGGTCTGTCTCGGCCGCTGGGGTGTCGCCTGAGCGCCCTGCTATGAGGCCTCCAAGGGTACGCCAGGTAGCGGCGGCTGTTGGCCCCCAGCCCCCACCACAAGCCTCAGCGATGAGTGGGACAAACTGCAGGCCCTCCGTCTGGCAGAGGCGCTCGGTGTCAAGGTGGGAGCGCTTGCGCGCCTCGTAGGCTTCAACAGCAGAGGAACCGGAGCGGGCAGACTCGGCGAGCACAACGCCGGCAGGGAGCCCAGAGGTTACTGCCAGATCAAGTGCAGCAGCCCCGTGCAGGCCCCACTGCGCGAGCCACACGTCCGCAGGGCGCCGGAAGCCCGCCCCACGGGTGCCGGGCTCCGCGCCGAATTGCGAACCCGCGAGCGCTAAAGGATGGCAATTATCCCTGGCTTTCAACAGCTGTGCCGACAGGTTTGGGGCAAGTTCCCGTGCTTCATACTTGGCCCTGTAATGGGGCGTATGCGATCATGGGCTGAACCAACGCTGACTGCAGACTTACTCTCCCAGACCTGTATATACATGTCTGAACAGCCCCCCACTGTGACCGAAATACCAAGTAAAAATTGTATAGGTCCCGGAACCTATTTAGAAAGGGTGGGCCCCACAGTCACACCCCCTCCAAAAACCTATTGTTAAAGGGGGGGGGGGTAATATGCGTGGCACATTGCTCCAGTCCTCACTGAGGGGCCGACACTCGAAAGTGAACAGCGTAGAAGTGGAGAGGAAGACCAAAGGACCTGGGCAGAGCGGCCGGGCAAAGAGCAGCCGAGATAATAGCAGCGACACAAGTGGCGGGCACATGTGGGAAGGGAAACCCAGTCAGATGGACCCGCAGTACAAAGCCCTGCGTTGCGGCTTAGTTATATACTTTATCGCTTGCAGCGGGCTTTTTCGGGCAGCATACAGCTCGCGCTGTCATCATGCACCTCATATTGTTGGCCCACAGCCACTTCCAGCTCTGTGCGACCCACCCATCCAAGTGCAGAAGCTAGACGGACATGGCCATTGCTCAAACAGTCATTGTGCAAGGGCCACTTTCCGCGTGCCTCTGCCGGATTTCAAGTAATTAAGTCGGACTGTTCCAAAACCGTGATGGAAGTGCCGGATGATAGAGAACAAAAGTGAGCAAGAACAGGCGCAGCGCTGTCCCCCATCCCCGACACTGGTGGCAGAGGCTTGGGCCGAACAAACAAAAGTGCACAAGCATCTGTCTCTGGCAGGAAGTAATACCCAAGCAGCATAGTAGTTCAACGCTTTGTTGGCCGAAGACTTCTGGCAAGGAAAGGTATGCGCACTGCTTCTCACTGTGTGCTCGAGACACATTTCGCAGTGAGGAACCCACTCCAAGCCATCAATCAGAACATCCGGAAAACTTCCACCTTCAACATGCACGTCATTTGAGCCCGCGCCGGCCTTTGAAAGCATGCCTGCTAGTTTGCACGTCCAGCCCTGAATGGGCGGTGACCAGCGAGCAAACACGGAAAACAAATTCCAAGGGCCTAGATGTGCGTCTTGGCTTTGTGTCTAACCGTCTAACCCCTCGCGAAGGGTCTTCACTGGGAGTGTCAGCAGAAGGCACGAGTATGAGCTGCACCGTCAAGTCAGCGGCAATCTCTAAAGCAGCTGCCCGTGGCAGCAAGCGGTTCAGGATGGTGGATGATCTGCCTTTGGACGCAGCACCCACCTACTCTGCTGAGTCCAGGATGATGACAACTTTGGCAGCATGTCGTGCACGAGAACGAATGATCCAGCGCATCGCAGCACAAATGCTTCGGCCTCCAGCAGAGTGATGTGTGTTTTGTGGCGACTTTTCACTGAGAAAATGTGCACGAAGTCGTCCTGCCTAAGTCCTAAACAATGCGCTTGCCCAAGACGCTTTGGAAGCTGGCTTAGCGGCGTTCCCTCCGGGAAGACGTAGTCACCCTGTTTCTCTGCCAACCGTGCCAGGCGCCGGACTTGGTCAGGCATCTTGGCGACGGAAGCACCAAACCCGAAGCCTATGGAGGCATCGGACGCTGCAATTAGCTTAAGGGTCGGCTTCCGAAGGTCAGTGAGCCAGAATATTCCCAGAAGCATCCCAACAACAGCTCCTCTAGCACATCTTCCTGCACAAGCTGCTGGTGAAAAGCATCATTGTGCGTTGTGAACTTGTAGACTTGCTGGTGCACGGCCAACTGCTGTCTGCGCAGCAAATCGTACCACTGAAGGCTGCCCAAGAGCTGGAGAATTTGCTCTGGCAATGCCTGCTTGCCAGCAGCAAGCTGTGTTGTGCACACTACCAAAGCTAAGCAACGTTCTGGAGGAACGGCCCACTGCACACCATTCTCCAAGCTCACCCCAACACATGTGGCATTGAGGCAATCTGTGACGTCTTTGGCGGAGTTCTTGAGCACATCGTGGGAGACCATAGCTGCGTCCAAGCGCTCAGCGGCTGCAGCTGTGACCCCTGGGCCGGCGTTGCTAAAGAGCATGACATCATCGGCGGCCGCGGCGAAGGCCATGCTGTGAGGTGTCGGCAAGTCCGTTGCTAGAATGCAGTCTGCCCAAGCCAGCGCCAGCACACACACACACACACTTAAAAGCTTCTTCTGGGGGAAGTAGCTGGACCATGAGAAACCCATGGGCCATACCCGCGATACTGGATACAGCCACCGCGCCGATGCATCTGCTTGCGGCTCCAAGCTGCGTTCTGTTTCCGCGTAGTCCATGCCAGCCTTCTGCACAAGCTCACGTGCAGTCACTGGAGGGCGGGCCATCCAGGGTCACAACTGAGCAGGCAGTCTAAGCTGGTGAAAACACACACTTGGCATCTCGCTTGGACCCATGGATGGGGTTATCGTCTGTGGCTTCCAAGCGCACCAGAGCGCAGGGTGATGCTAAGTGCCTCGGCGGCGGAGGTTTCTGCGCAGCTTGAGACACCCGTCGCCCATGCCACACCTCACGCTGTTTGCTTAGAGTCCCTCCTGCCCACTGCCACCCACAGCGCAGCTGGTTGCGAACATGCTGCATGTCCTCAACCCGGCTGCCTGCAGAGAAAGTTGAAAATTGGTCTAAGCCATCGGGGGCAATGGAAGCATGGATGCTGCAGTTTCTACCAGATCTCTAATATCACCCGGTAGGCTTGGCGACGGATCACAGCGACCTGCACTGTCGAGGTTGTCCACCATGTCCGCTTGCAGGTCAATGCACCCGGAGTTACTCGAGTTGGCGGGTCCGGCAACCCAGTCTGGCAAAAACTGCTCCCAACGGCCGGCCTGAGCAGCTCCATGCGAACTACCATATCCAGCGACCTTGGCACAATCCGTTTGTGAACATCGGCCTGCGCTGATGTCAAACCCGCTGGTACCCGCACTGGTGGTTTGCCCGAGAACAAATACTCCCTTCCCCCTATTAATAACCCCCCCCCGAATAATAAAACCCCCCAGCCCGGCCCTAAAAATTCCGCATGAGCAATTTAAAAGGGCCTGTACTACTTTTAATAGGAGCCAGACCATCACGAATTGGGGCGGGGGGGGGTTGAGGTCATTAGCGGGGGATAATAGAAAATCCAAAGGAATTAGGGATCCCCTTGACATCCTAGGTTTTGGTTGATTTTCATATGGTTTTATAAAGGATTTTATATGAAGGAATTTCATGCGATTTTAATTCGTTTTATGACGATTTTAGCCGTGTCGCATGAAACCTCAATTGATTTTCATTCGATTTCAATTGGTGGTTAATGGAACTTTAATACGATTTCAATTCATTTTTAATTGAATATTCATTGAATTTCAATTCGATTTCAATTGATTTTAATGGAATTTTGATTTGAATTCAATTGTTTGTTTGTTGAATTTGAATTTGATTTAAATTCATTTTTTATGGAATAATTAATTAATTCGGCAATTGTTTTAATTAAGTATTTCATTCTTTAATATTTTATTTGGCTTTATTTAATTTTAAAGGAATTTAAAGGCAGCCAAATCCGTTCAATAACCCCCCCCCCCCCTAATAATAAAACCGTTTTGGGCCCAGGGGGGTTTTATTATTAGGGGGGGGACCTTCTTTATATTAGGAGGAAGGGATTAGTTCAGTGCCAATGCAATTCGCGAACTGCAGCAGGATGTTCCATAGCCACTGCCTGCAGCCATGTGGTTGCAACAAGTTACCCTTGATCAACGGGAGCGGAAACATGTCCCTTTGCCGCCCCGATCTGGCAGCATTGACTTGGCGAAAGCGCTGGCAATACATGGCAAAAGGACCTCGCACAGACAAACATGCTTCTCTGAGACGATCAAACAACCAGACTTTGTCCGATCGCACAGCCGCAAACTGTTCCGATCTGAGTTCCAGCCATTTGGACCTGCTCAGCCTGTTTCGCCTTGCACTTGCAGGTGAACGCCTACTGGTGTCCCCCATGGCTGCATCATTCCCCCAACTCCTCCCCCGCGAAGGCGAAGGGGAAAAACGATGCTTAGCGAGCATCTTGTACCCTTGGTGGCCACCGGGATACAGTTGATGCACATCTACATAGACAAGCTGCACATCTTCAGCATGATGCTGATTTGCCTGCCGTTCTTTGCACAATACACCGTCATCTTCGAAGTACCCAGCTTGTGGGCACTTGCAATCACTAAGGGGGCCGGGCGAGTGAAGAAGAAGAAGAAGAAAAGCAGAAAAAGAAGACGTCGGACCCCGGCGAAGACAGGAAGCAGGTTAAGGGCAGGGTGGGGTTTGGGGGAGAGAGGGATGCACAGCCTTCCATCTGCTTGACCTTCCACTTGCAGGGCACTTGATGAACACTTGGGGATCCAAAAGGGTTAAGGAGGGGAAACCTGAACAAAACCCAACCCCAACCCCGCGGCTCGCTTTTACGGTAGAAAGCCCCATGGGCCCATGGGACTACAGATCCGTTGCCCAAGACGGCGGGAAAGGCCTGCCGACTGCTCTGGATGTGCTGCACGTTCCTGAGCTGTTCTTGAACTTCCCTGCTGTCGCCACCATCACCATCATTGATGAAGGTCACCGCTGCGCCAGTGGCCAATGGCAGCAAAGGCACCGGACGTGGCCTGGATCTTCTCAACGTTCATGGCCCCAGGTAACAACAGTGCCATCGCGGCGGATGGCCGCAAAGCACGCTCTGTGGCCTGGATCTGCTGCACATTATTCAGTTGAGCTTGCACAGCCCTGCTGTTGCCTCCATGAGACTCGCCGCCCCACTTCACCACAGATTTGTCAGCCAGGATGGCCGCGAAAGCGCGGTCTGTGGCCTGAATCGCCTGCACATTCTGTAGTTGGGCTTGCACGGCGCTGCTGTCGCCGCCCGCGTCTGTGCAGCCCCAGGCAACGACAGAGCCGTCGGCAAGAATGGCAGCAAATGCATACCTCGCGGACTGAATCTGCTGCCGTTTCCTCATGCCTATCTTGCACAGCGCTGCTGTCGCCTCCAAAAGAAGTTTCGTACCGGGAGACCACGCGCCCATCTGCGCGGATAGCAGCAAAAGCACCGGCGCAGGGTTACCTGCATGGATCGCCGGCACATTCTTCAGTTCCTCTTGGACATCGCTGCTGTCGCCGCCATCGATGGAGGGGCCCCATGTCACGACGGAGCCGTCAGCAAGGATTGCCGCAAAGGACAGCTCGCCAGCTTGAATGGCCCGCACGGCCCGCAGTTGATCGCCATTGCCGCCAGCAGCTTCAATGCCCCGCGTGTTCACGGATCCATCAGCGCGGATGGCTGAAAACGCCGTCGCGGTGGCCTGGACCTGTGCCACGCCCTGAAGATCAGTGGGCGCTCTTACGGGCCCTATGTAGTTGGGGTAAGTTCCCCAGGTCAGTACTGCACCATCAGCAAGGATGGCAGCAAAAGCGCTCTCCGTCGCTTGTATCTGCTGCACATTCTTCAGTTGCTCTTGCACACCACTGCTGTCGCCACCGCTGCTTGCATTGCCCCAGGTCTTAACGGAGCCATCGCCCAGAACGGCAGCAAAAGCCGCGCTGTTGCCGATCAGCGCGGGAAAGCTGACAACGAAGCTGTCGCCTACCACCCGGCCACGCCGCCAATCGTGATCTTCAAACTGGACAGGCTCGCCACTCAGCATGCGCTTCATGGCGGCGGTTAACAGTTAAGCCTAGATAATTACGGGTGGCTAACAGTTATATTATAGCCCCCCTTAAGTAGATAGAATTTGGGGATATGGGGATCTTATTGTAAAATACCCAAAGCCATATTCTATCTACTAGGGGGACTATAAGCCTAGATACGGGTGGCTAACCCTTAAGCCTAGACAATGGTGGCTAGCCATGGTAAACCCCAATCCACTAAACCCCCTAAGTTCTAAAGCCTATAGGCTCCTAAACGTCTAAACCGCTACCCCGCTAAACTTTAAACTCCAAAGCTCTAACCCCTCTAAGTTCTAAAGACCAAGCCCCTAGGGCCCTAAATCACTCAAAACCCAGGTTGCGAGAGCCCACTAGCGAGAATAAAACCCTCACCCCCTGGTACATATCAACCAACAACTTAACCCCTGGACACCTGAGCCACGGCAAGCGACAACAATACAGGGCAGAAGGGTTGGGGATCCTAAGGGGAAGGGTCGGGGACGCGCACCTGCTTGACCTTCCAGACCTGACCTGCCTGATTACCTTAACCTGGCCTTAGCCCCAACCGCCGAAATCGCAGACACACTTGGCAGGCACTAACCCTGAACTAGGGGGTAGGGAGGGGAACCCAAAAACCCAACCAAGGATGATGGAGGGGGCTGCCCTGAACCTAGGGGTAAGGACCTAGGGAAACCCAACCCTTACAAGCAATAAGGGGCCCGGGCAGCAAGGAAGTCGATGAAGAGGAGAACGGTCCAACCTGACAGGGCAAAGGTGGGGGAGGGACAGCCTAAAAGGACCAGGCGGGTTCAGGAACAAAGAAGAGAGCGCAGACGCAACAGCCAGCGAACAAACCCCCAAACCCCAGCACCCAAGCTCAAAACCCGCGAACCCAGCACGCCGCACACTACGGGCTTGCGGCATCATCCCAGGTAGGCAGCGACAACGATGGACCTGAGCAAGGACACAAAACTCAGGCACATGAGGAAATGAGGTGCATTGCAAAACGAACCAGCGCCTATCACGCTCAGATTTTTTCTCATAGGTCCATCCTGCCCTCGCAAACAGTGTCTCATGCACCATGCGACATGCTGTACCCTTGGCATGTCTACTGCAATATTCGGAGATTCTTGTTCAGAAGTCTGCCCTCCATCAAAACTTGTCTAGCGGACGCGTCCCTTCTTGGACTGTCCAGCACCGCTCTGCTTGGCCCCGACCTTCTTCGCCTTCCTGGCTTGTAAGACTGGACATAGACCACTATGTCATTGGGTGATCCTGAAAGAGGTTTTGGCAAAGGTGACGGAACAATGGGCAAATGCGGATGCTGGAGTGCATGCTCGTAGGCACTGTGTTTGTCAAGTTGTTTACGTAGCGCGCTGTCTCACGGAGCATTCCGAGGTAGCTCGCACCACAGCAACTAAGTACTTTTGGATGGACTGGGCAACTTGTCTGTCTGCACCTGTTGGCACAACCCCCAAGCGTGCTAACACGACGCTCGAATCATGTGGCAGGCCAGATGGGAATGTGGAATCACGCAAGTGTTGTATTGCTGGGCATCTCCAAAATCGGTGCCCGGAAGTGTCAGCTTCCCTACGGCACCTGGCAGAGAGGATTCTTGCCGCACCACGCTGGTGGGCTTGAATTTCTGGACGCATTGCCCCCCTGAGGAGCGTTC